TGCTCTTTCAGGAACAGCTGTGCCAGAGCTTGTGACTGACCCAAGGTCACATCAGCAGGTGCAAGTGGAGGAGCGCGGACTCAAACCCGGTTCTCCCAGATTAGAGTCCGCCGCTCTTAACCACCGCACCACACCACACCCAGCCCCACTTCTGTCCTAAAAACATTTGGTGGGCACCAGAAAAGGAGTCAGTGGTCACCATGGTACCCTGCATTAGAGGGTATTTCATTCGCCATCACTCCCTCACACACGCACGCTCTGTCCTTTCTTCCCATTTTGCAGTCTCAAAGAGCGAAGTCCTCTGCAGCTGTTAAGAGAGGCTTATTTGCCATGCCTTGAGCTCCCACGAGCAAAGCTACCGTCCCACGGGGGATACTTTCTCATCCTGGAGAGTGGCATCCTTCACTCTGACAGCGGCTGCTCTCCCTTGTATTGCCAGGCAAAGCTGGTTGCTGCCAGAGTGTCCACTGACAAGGATGAGATCCAGATATGGGAAAAGTGAAAAACTTTTGCATCTCTTCAAGTTTGCCAGAATCCACCCAGTGCTTTAGTAACTAAACTGCAAACATCAGTAATCTCCCAAATTCTAACATAGCAAAAGCAGGGGGGAAAGTCAAAACCCTTATCTATTTTGCTTGGATAATGAATTCTTTACCCCCGTTATACTGTTCAGTGTTATACAATAGTACGATGGGAAACACTTTTCTGGAGAGAGAGATCTGAAGGTACGTAGGACAACACTACTGAGGCAGAAGAACAGTTGATTTTTATACCCACTTTTCTCTTAGGAGGTGGTTAAGAGCGTGGACTCTAATCTAGGAGAACCGGGTTCGATTCCCCCACTCCTCCACATGCAGCTGTGGGTGTGACTTTGGGTCAGTCACAAGTTCTCTCAGAGCTGTTCGCTCAAGAGCAATCCTTGAAAGAGCTCTCTCAGCCCCACCTACCTCACAGGCAGTGCTCCCTCTAAGCTGTGGCGTCTTGTGAGCAAAAATTCGCCTCTGTGAGCTACTGGCATTAAAGTTGTGAGCGAGCGATTTGGCTACTGCATAAATTAGTCTGCTCTGGAGCCATCCTTCCTGAGCTAAGACAAAAATGCATGAGCTGGAGGCTAAAAAACTGTGAGCCAGCTCACACTAACTCAGCTTAGAGGGAACACTGCTCACAGGGTGTCTGTCGTCAGGAGGGAAAGGGAAAGGAGATTGTAAGCCGTTCTGAGACTCCCTTGGGTAGTGAAGGATGAAGTATAAAGCCAATCTCTTCTTCTTCTACCCTAAGGAGTTTCACTATGGCTTACAATCTCCTTCCCTTCCTCTCCCTACTACAGGCACCTTGTGAGGTAGGTGGGGCTGAAAGAGCTCTGAGAGAACTGTGACTGACCCAAAGTCACCCAGCAGGCTCCATGTGAAGGAGTGTGGAATCAAGGCCGGATCTCCAGATTACAGTATGCCGCTCTTAACCCCTACACCACGCTGGATGCTAAGCAGGGTTCCGGGCCCGTAACCTGTCTAGAGAAGAGACTGCCTTCGACTCATGCAGAAACTCTCTTAACCTTTACAGAGGAAAAATAAGGGGAACGTGCACTACAACAAGGGAACTGCAGGGAGAAACACACACCTGGAGAGCTCCGATGGCAGCACTCTGGAACCGAAGGTCCGTCTTGAAGTCCTGCGCGATTTCACGGACCAGGCGCTGGAATGGCAGCTTGCGGATCAGCAACTCTGTGGATTTCTGGTACCGCCGGATCTCTCGCAGCGCCACGGTGCCAGGCCTGGAACAAAACACACAACTATTAACATGGGTCTCATCCAAAATGGACCTCAGGGGAGAAAGCATGGTCAGAAAATATGGCTTTACTTTGTTTTTTTTGCCGTCAAGTCACAGACGGCTTATGGCGACCCCGTAGGGTTTTCAAGGCAAGAGACATTCAGAGGTGGTTTGCCATCGCCTGCCTCTGCGTAGGAACCCTGGTCTTCCTCGGCGGTCTCCCATCCAAGTGCTAACTGGGGGCAACCTTGCTTAGCTTCCGAGATCTGATGAGATTGAGCTAGCTTGGACCATTCAGGTCAGGGCAGGAATGACTGATTGAGAAAAACGTGTGGAAACTAGGATTCTATTCTCAATGGTGATCTCCGGCCATATGGGGGGTCCGGCTGTCCTCAACTGGGGCCAGGGCCTTTTCAGTCCTGGCCCCGACCTGGTGGATAGAGATGTAAAATTTAAAATGGAGAAGAAGAGAATGATGGAAACTGCTTGGGTCACCATTGGGGAGAAAGGTGGTGAGAAATAAAGTAAACAAACAAAATCTGCCCCAGTCTGCTTCTGGGATGGGGGTGGGGTAGGGGGATCTCTTGAGGTTTCAAACGCTCTGAAACATGGCCCCATGCAAACACATTTAAAATTTGCCTGCCAGGTCATTTAAATGCCAGGTCATCTATGTGAGCAAGATTATTTGTCCAATAAAAGCAAAGAAAACCCAAACCCTAGTAACTCACATTTTTGAACCTCTGTTAATTAAACTGGTGAAAAGTCTGATGGGGTCCTTCTGCTTCCAGTGAGCTCTTGTTGATAAATGCAGTGGATCTGTATTGGCTGTAGGTCTGCTGAACTTGGCCCAGAAAAAAGAATGAACCACTTCTCTTTATTGACTGCATCTTCTGCTTCCTGTAGATTCAGAAAAGACACTTAAGGCAATGCCTTAAACCTCATTCTCACAGCAAAATGCAGCCTTTAACAGACCTCAGCCACCCACACAGATAAAATGCAATTGGGGCAAACTGAACACCTTCCTTTGCTTTTATTTATTTATTTATTTATTATTCAACTTAGACCCCGCTCTCCCCGCGTTCGCAGGCTCAGGGCAGCTTACATTCATTAAAACATTTTACAAATATATAAATAGCAATTAAAATCCAATAAAATCCTCGTAGAGCAATTCAATATCAGTAATAGTAATAATAAGTGCTGTCGATGTTTCGCTGATTATACAGGCGGCGTACTTGTAAGTTTTCCAGTTTCTCGATGTTCTTTGCACAAGCCAGCCATCAAAGCCGAGAGCTGGTGGTGATAGTGGGGGCGGTTCCTAGTTGAAGGCCTGGTGGAAGAGCTCCATCTTGCAGGCCCTGCAGTACTGTGAAAGGTCCTGCAGGGCCTTGATCTCCTTCGGGAACTCATTCCACCAGTACGGAGCCGCCACAGAAAAGATCCTGGCCCTGGTAATAGCAAGCCTGGCTTCTTTGGGACCCGGGAGGTCCCACTTTAAATGGTTTATAAGGTTGTGAATCGCCCAGAGCCTGCTTGGAGGGTGAGCGATTCATAAGTCCAATACAACAAACAAACAAAGAAAGAAATGCCTTTTGCACGCTGGCAGACAATTTGGGGGCACTTTCTCCCAACGCCGGGCCTGGCCTGCTCGGGCAGCTGCTCTCAACACTTTCAGTCGCACCGAATTCTGGTACCAACCCAGAAAAACGCACGTGTCCTTCCTGGTTACCTGTAGCGGTGAGGCTTTTTCACTCCACCAGTGGAGGGCGCGCTTTTCCGAGCGGCTTTAGTGGCCAACTGTTTCCGGGGCGCTTTCCCACCGGTGGATTTACGGGCGGTCTGCTTGGTACGAGCCATCCTGGGCGATCCTTAGAACACGGGAAATCTGCTAAGGATAGGAAGGGAAAAAGACAACGTGGATTTATAGGAAAACCTTGCCTTTTGACGTTTCTGTGTCATTTTTTGTTCTGAGAGTTTAAAGCTAAGAGCCTTCCACACTGCTTTGGAAACACTGTCCCAGCTTTATGACAGCTGTTTACTTTCTTGGAAAGCAGCTGGTTGGCAGAAAACATATTGCATAAAAAGGAATAAAGACCCTTTATGGACAAGGCATCATGCAGCAAAGGAAAAGTTTCTGCTGTAGATGAAATTTCTGTCTGATGCTTGATGTACCAGTTTGGTGTAGTGGTGAGGAGCGCGGCCTCTAATCTGGGAGAACCGGGTTTGATTCACCACTCCTCCACATGCAGCTGCTGGTGTGACCTTGGGTCAGTCACAAGTTATTTCAGAGCAAGTCTCTCAAGAGCAGTCCTCAAGAGAGCTCTCTCAGCCCCACCTACCTCACAGGGTGTCTGTTGCGGGGAGGGGAAGGGAAAGGAGATTGTAAGCTGCTCTGAGACCCCTTTGGGTAGTGAAGGGCAGGGTATAAATCCAAACTCCTCCTCCCTGTGCTGCAGTTCTGTGACCAGCACATCAAAGTGCCTTCCGAAGGCACTGTGGCACTCAACCGCAGGGTCCTCCTAGCACTCATAATAGAAATCCTGCCACCTAGCTGTGGAAATTGGCAGCAGCGGGGAAGTTACCTGAATCTCTGTTAGGCAGGCAGAGTTAGGTTGATCTCCTCTGGCCACGGATTCCCTTACCTGACCAACCTTTAAATTCAAAATATTCTGCAAGGTGTTTAAGCATAATCTCCTTTTTTGTTATTTAATTCAGGGTACACCCACACCTGCCCTCCCAAAACAGCAGGGGTTTACCCCTAGTGCAAACCCATTTCTATCGAGTGGAAGACAGGGTTGCCAGTCTCCAGGTGGTAAGGATGCAAGGACTTCCAGTGAAAAACAATAACAGTCGTTCACTTAACACTGGAGAGAAGATGCCGCTTCTCTGCCAGGCCGTTCTTAAAGGTAAACACTCCCAGTTTGGCCGTCTGGCTCCTTCTGCTTCCAAACAAAATATCGACACGGGGCTCTTGCTGATTGATATATTTACAGTCCAAAAAAAAAAAAGCGCAGTCGAAGATGTACTGGCTATACAATCTTTTTGAGAATCCTTTCTCAAGACAGGAATATCGATATATATAGGCCGTGATGTAACAAATGAAGCAAAAAGTACGGCCAGAGGATGTTCCTGTTGACGTTGCAGGCAGTGGCTGCTGTCGTGAAGGGCCTTATCCCAGTTCAATGTTGCTGGTAGCGGCTCCTAATCGAAGGCCTGGTGGAAGAGCTCCGTTTTGCAGTGCGGAAGAGGACAGTGTTCGTTATTCTGGACTGGGTAATGGTGAACAAGGGTGCCAACTCTTGCGTCCAGTACATAAGTCACACTTCCCAATTCATAATTTGATTCTAAATTTGATTGTAAACGCAGCCCTACTCTGGATCCATTAAGGGTCCTGAGACCTTGCATTTTACCACCCGTAACAATAACAAAAAACGAGCAATAGCAACCCATTTACCCGCTGCATCTTTTTTTGTAAGACGTTCAGCGTTCTGGTAAACAAGGTAAGATCTCCAAACTCCAACATTTTAAAAAAAAAGATCAATCTGCGTGTGCGTCCCCCCACCTCTCTCTCATGCTCCACCATGACAGCTTTGCTCATCGGAGAAGAGTCCTCTGCAAGTGGCAACATACAACTGGGCAAAATGAACAACTGCTTGTACATGGCCTTCTCTGTTGTGGCCCCTATCACGTGGAATGGACTACGTGAGAAGGTCAGGAAGGCTCCCGCTCTCCTGGCTTTCCGCAAACGATGCAAAACAGAGTTATTCAAGAGGGCTTTTCTGCACAAGCAACAGAGTTGCACGGTACTAAATGATGCACAAAAGTGACTTGGATAAATTATTAGGGACGGTGGCCGATACTACTGTGTGTAGCTCGCTGAAACGAGAAGCCTGCTATGGAATTTTTGTATCATTTAATGTGTCGTGTCAATACATACGCTTTGCTTCAGTTCGGTTTTTAGACTTCTGGTTGGTTCTACGACCCAAATCCTATTTCATTGCTCACTGAATGCCCCATCTGTCAATCGTACTGACTCACTCTGTGTCATCCGCTGTGAGTCCAAGTGAGAAAGGCGGACTATAAATAATGTAAGCAAGTAAACAGATAAATTCAGAGTTCATAAATGAGGATGAAAAGGTAACCATTAGCCAGCCGCTACGACCAAAGTGAAAGCTCCTATTTTTATCCTCCAGTTATGAGAAAATACTTACACCACCCAAATCCACAAACATTTTGGGCCGTTCAGTCTGCAAACATTTGATTCATTAAAGTTTTCTGGTTTCTAAAATGTTAGTGAGGGTGGGAGACGGGAGAGAGAAAAAAAAACAGCACAAGGTGATAAAACCTCACCCTTCCAAATGAGGGGGAAAGAAATGAAACAGAAGCACACGGCACCAGGAATAGATGTGAAGATAAATCGCAAAGCGTGCTGTTGATGCACGGGACTGAAATGGAACGACTTCTTTTTTTTTAAGTGTAAAAATCGTTGACACATCCAAACTTTTAAAAAATCTGAATGAGGGGTGTGAATTTTGGTCGAGACTGATGATTGGGCGAGGCTGACAACATCAAAGGCGCCACATCATGGCGGGAAGCAGAAGAGGAGGCAGTTGCCATGGCAACAGAAGCCCCCCAATCCTCTCGCTTATCTATAGCATCCAATGGGCGACGGAGGGCGTGTCCAAAGGAAATTCGGGAACCCCAACCTATTAGCACCACAGTTATCTCCAGGGCTGGACTGCAATTATCCCCCCCCACCACCACCTTTCTTTCGGGGGTATCAAAAACACCTTGCGAGTACCACCCCCCACCGGACTACAGCCCCCAAGAGCCTTTGCGAAGTCCGCACCACCCGATTGGCTCGCGGGGCCCAGGTGACACAAAACACACCGTAGGCCGCACCACCTTTTCCTCCCGACTGGCCGGCGAGATTAAAAAAAAAATAGCCGCGAGATTAAAAAACAGCCATGGGGGGCAAAGCACTCATGCATAGAGTTGAGTGTTCCATTTTTTTTAAAAAAATAAATAAATAAAACCTTTGCCTCCGGTTATTGACAACGGCTCCTAGCCAATCAGCTCCCGGGTTATCTCGGCGACTTTCCAACCTATCAGCGTAACCCTCCGCCCCTCGGCCAATAGGCGGCGGGATACAGACGGAAGGCGGGACTTGATGTATCGGCAAGGGGGGGGGGAAATGCATCTCCTCAGACGACCTCGGTTTCTAGTCACCCCCCTTTTCTTTTTTTGCCGATCGAAAAAAGAGCGCGGGAAAGGAGGGAGGGGCCGGGCCGGGGAGGCGCCGGTGCCTCGCGGCGTCGCGTTACCTGAGTGTCCGCCTGGCGCGCGTCAGTGGCCGTTGGAAGCCGTTGGTCGTCCCGCGGCGGCGCTCGCGCTGCTCTTGCGCTCCCTTCCCGCTTTTCCCGCCAGCCCCAAACAGAAAATGGCGGGTTCCAAGGCCAGGCTATTTAACCATCATGCAACGGGGCTGGGGAAAAGGAGGGGAAGGGAGGAGGGTGGGTGGAAAAAAGCGGCAGGTCAATTGAGGTGAGCCGAGCTTTCGCAGGAGCCTTCTTTGCGTGTTTGCCACCACCTCCCCGGCGGCCTGGCCCTCTCTCTGCCTGGATCCCCGGAAACAAAAAAAAAAAACAAAAACAGAAAATACGGACGCCCTTCAACGAAGAGGGGACATGCTTCCCTTACAGACCACGACGGTTGCTCTTTCTGCACCTGTCACTTGCGCATCAGCCTTCAAATTGTTGTGTCAGGCGACAGCTCTGGTGCAGGAAAGAGGAGAAATGGCTTGCCTGTGGTGGTGAAAGCAGTCCCCTCACCTTACCAAGCTGTCGCCTGTGTTGTTCCCTAAGTGATGCTTCTAGTTAAACCCAGCTTTCTTGACGTTATGCTACGCCACTACGCCATTATTCACTTTGTGAAAGGACAAGCTGCCTTCAAAAACGAGGCTGTGGTACTTGGTGACCTGTGGATCTTTGAGCACCTAATACATCGCATTGGAGGCCCAGTGTTCTTGACTTTTGAGCACATCATGAATAGTACCGAATAAGGCATAGCATTTTAAATGCTTCAACACACTTCAAAAATGAGCCTGTGGTACTTGGTGACCTGTGGATCTTTGAGCACCTAATACATCGCATTGGAGGCCCAGTGTTCTTGACTTTTGAGCACATCATGAATAGTACCGAATAAGGCATAGCATTTTAAATGCTTCAACACACTTCAAAAATGAGCCTGTGGTACTTGGTGACCTGTGGATCTTTGAGCACCTAATACATCGCATTGGAGGCCCAGTGTTCTTGACTTTTGAGCACATCATGAATAGTACCGAATAAGGCATAGCATTTTAAATGCTTCAACACACTTCAAAAATGAGCCTGTGGTACTTGGTGACCTGTGGATCTTTGAGCACCTAATACATCGCATTGGAGGCCCAGTGTTCTTGACTTTTGAGCACATAACAAATCGCACAGAATAAGGCATAACATTTTAAATGCCTCAGCACACAATATGCTTAATGGATGCTCCTTGCTTGCAGTGTTATGAGCTTGTGTTCTACCAGACCCAAGGTCATCAAATTCATACAAGGCATTCACAGAGGTCTCACGTGGCATCCACACCAAGGAAATTCTAAATGGACCATGCCAGGTTAACAATAATTTGTAGGACAAAACATCCTACACACCAACTGTAGTCCCAACTCCAGATGAGATCCTCCTCTTAGATTTCAGCCATCATTTTTTGGTCCACTAGATGAGCAAAGCAGTATCTGGTACCCTTCAAGTGTCCCTGGAGCCAGTTCTGTCTTTGGTTTACAATGTTTTGTTTTACTTCTTGAACATATTATTGAAAAGCAAAATATACTATGTTTAAAACTGGACCGCAAGCCACAGGCATTTACCCTATGATTTTCCAGCCATTCTGTGTCAATGGTAAGCAGCTGGTGATGACTCAGTGGAAGACTTTAAATTCTAGTGGCCATCATCACAGGTTATTCAGCCATTGCAAATATAACTACTGGACTTGGTTCTGAGTGAAAATGGACAGGATAGGGCTGCATGGCTGTAATCCTAAACACAATTACTAGCACATTAAGTTCCACAGGATTCAGCAGGGGTTAATTTTAACTCATCATGTTTAGGAATGTATTGCATAGCATAAACCTCTATATGGTGTGGCTGGTATCTCAATGTAACGCTATGAAGGGCATGTGAAAATGCACTTTTGAAAAGTTGAAATGGGGAACAAGTGCCTGGAGAAAGTAATGGGATGGACGAGGACCCATAAACTGAAGCACAATCCACACAAGATTGGGGTGCTGTGAGCCAGTAACAAGATAAGTGACAGGAGGATTGAGGAGTCTGCATGTCTTGAAAGGAGCTGCACTCCCCCAAAGTAGCAGCATCATAGCTTGAGAGTGCTGCTGAATCCTGGTCTACAGTTGGAGTCCCTGGTGTCCTCTGTGGCACATTCTGCCTTTAATTAGCTTTGGCTGGTAAGCAATGGCCATTCCTTGAAAAGCATGATCTTGACATGCGCTGATTCAGGTCTGGTTCCTGTAAAATGCTTTACTTAGGGTTGCTATTGAAAACTGCATGAACTTCAAAATGTGGTAACCAGGCTATTATTACAGGCTGTATGTAGAGACTCTACCAACCCCTGTGCTGAAAAAACTGTACATTTAAAGTGCTGATTCATAAGACCTTAAATGGCTTGGGCTCAGGAAATGTGAAAGACTGCATTGTTCTGTACTGTCCATCGAGCCAGTTGAGATTCTGTTCCCTACTCTTATGTGCCTCTACCTACAGACAGGGCTTTTTCAGTAGTAGCACCTCACCCTTGGAATACCTTCCCCTTTGAAATTCTCCAGGTATGTGCTTAACTGTCCTTTACGCACCAAGCCAAAACCCAGGCATTTAACTGAAGTGTTCCATCTTTTTAAACTATTTTTAAAGCTCTGACCTGAGGGCTATTTTGTGGGTATAACTTTAGGCTGCTTAAAGTTGCTTTTATAGCTTTTTAAAATACTGATTATTTATGGTGGTTGTTTTTATGATTTTATTGGATTTTTATTTTATGAGCTGCATCAAGCAGGCGCCCAGGGAGGCAGCATATAGATTTTCCAGATAAGAAAACAGCCTATAAAAATAGAGGCTGCTGCTGCTGCTGTTGATCTCTTGGTATTTAATAGAGGACACAAGGTCAAAACCATTTTATGAGGTGTAGCCATATATTTTGATTGTCGTAGAATCTGACAGAACAATGAAATGTAGAAGGTTCATTCAAGAACAGATGACAGTATATCACTATTGGCACTAGAGGGCACTTGTGTGTAGTCATCACCATTCTGGTTTCTTGCAGCAGATCAAAGTTTTTTTTACTTTGTAGCTTGGGGAAGAGAACGCTAAAATGGCATCAGTGTGTCTTTGGCCACTCCATAAAGAACACTGGACCAGTTTTGTAGATCACTGAAACCTAAAAAACATTTTGACACAAATGTACCCAGAGAATTCACACATTCCATTCCTTTCCATAGCAGTTAACCTTGTTTGTATTGCCTTGGATTCAGTTTACACACTTCCATGCTCTCTGCCCTAGGATCCTGTAGCCCTGGAACATTTAACTTATCCAAATCACACCCTCTTCCCTCAAATCTCTCAAGCTCCTATCCCACCCTCATTAGTCCCGTGTAAAGCTGCATTTCCCCCCCACCCCTTTTCCAGACAAGAGCCCTTTGGCTTTATCAGAGTATGCAGTACACACTAAGAACTAAACATATTGCAAATGCTTCTTTTCATTAGTTTCTTGTCTGTGCATACTGAAAAAGGCCATGCTTTACTTCCTTGCAATCGGGTCTGATATAAACATGAGGTCAAAGAACACACCTGAAGGACCTTGGACTCACACAAGCATCTCATTTAAACCAGGGTGCTACCTGTGCAAAACAGTTACATGTGCTTAGTTAGCATACCAGAGATCTGTGTCCTAAGTGGGCACTGAGCTGCAAAGTCCCACAAGCAAGATCTTTTGCCATACTGGTATCCTATTTAAATTAGCCTACAGTATCAAGCAGTGGAGGTGTTTAAGCAGAAGACAGCTGCAGGTTCTCCATCTGCAGTGGTGTTATGCCCACTGGAAAATGAAAAACAAGGATGCTGTTCTGGCTGTCTGGCACTCACTGCTTCTTTCAAAACAGCTTAATGAATGATGGTGTTCAATTGTCATAGCAACAGCAGAAAAAAGTTTCACATAAGCCCCTCGCAGTAGGGTACCAGAGGCCTCCTTCAACTTGAGATTTATTGCTTAAGCGTTCTATAATAGGTACAAATTATGTGCCATTGTATCAAGCAGATTAGTTTTCTTTTAAAACACAGCTGTTGTAGACAAATATGTAGCAGGAAGAGGTGGGCTGCTTTGCTGTTCTATGAAGGATTCGGATAAAATAATCTAAGCTGCAAAACCTCTATCTCGTTTCTAACGTACTCCAGAACTACACTAGATAATGACCCAAGACTGCAGCTTTTTATCTACTTAAAAGACTCCAGGCACAAAGATCCTCAGCCGTTCTTTCCTTCGTCCCTTCTACACCATGTAGAGTGCCTACACAAATTCTGCTTTGAAGCTTACAATCTCCACCTATAAGCATTCGTTGGAAAGAGGAGGGCGAAAGTGCTGTTATCAGTTTAGCAATCACTAAACTTTTACCCTAGCAATCCTTTCAGGGATGTTATGCTTACAGAGATTTATTTCAAGGCTATCCTATGTGAACTTAATGGGAGGGCAGGCTCCCAAAGTAGAGCTCCAGCGTAGAATACAAGATAACAGTCCTCTAAGTTGAGAAAGGGAACTGAGAAACCTTGGCCACCAGAAGGTATGAAAATACAGGATATACAGAGCAGCCACCATCCATATCATATATGTTAAGGGTTCACTTGGACTTAACTGAGAATATTTCCACAGAAACAAAATAATGTGAAGTCTCAGCTCTAAAAAGTATGTGAAATATCGGTGTAAATGTAGGCTGGCTGTTCTTTCCTTTGTACGTAATAAGCTGCAAAAAGGCAAAAGATTTTAGTGTTTCACACAAGCTGCGATTTTTTGAGAGACTGCATATAGCAGAAACCCCAAGATTGAAGAGTCTTACACCAGAGGAACCAGAAGGAGAAGCAGCGACTGAGAAGATGATCCCATAACTTGAAAGTTATTGAGGGAGATGCATATTTGATGGCTGTGTCGGGCAGGTTAAAGGAATTTTACTCCAACACATTTATAAATTTAAAAATTTATTTTTAAGCACAAAAGGCTGAAGATGTTCAAGGATTTTTCATAGCTTTGCAAACTCCCCCCCCCCCCCCCAGCCTGATGGCAAGTAGTTACTGTTGTTAAATGTTAAACCCAACATCACAGGCAGGATGCACAGAACATACAGCCCAAGAGGTGTAGCTTAATTGCAAAGCACAGAGGTGTCAAAGCACATCATATTCAGAGATCAAATGCCCATCTAACTCTGGTCAAGCCAGCATCCCACGCAAGTTTTTTCAGGGAACAGCCACGCGTCGAGTGACATTTCAGCAGTTCCCATCATTAAGTGTTCAGCTAGAATGAACAAAGTGGATTCTTCTTTGAACTATTGGGAAACATAAAAGAAAAGGGAAGAGAACGCATATGTATCATTACAAGATCTGCAGATGGAAGTTGCAACTGCTTTGCTAGATAGCCTGCTTTATATAACAGAGAATAAAATGCTTTGGCGATTCACTGGCCTTACATTTGGAAGAACTGAAATTTCACAGAGGGTGCTTTTAAAAGCAAAATCTTTAAAACCCTATCATTGTTCAGCCACACAGTCGAGTTCGACTCTTCGTGACCCCATGGACCACATCACGCCAGGCCCCCCTGTCTTCCGTCGTGCTCCGGCTTAATTTCATGTTCGTTGCATCGATAATACTGTCTAACCATCTCATCTTTTGCCGTCCCCTTCTTCTTTTACCTTCAATCTTTCCCAGCATCAGGGTCTTCTCGTGAGTGCTCCCTTCTCATTTGGTGGCCAAATGGACAGTAACAAAAGGCTAAAAGCCCTATCATATGCATGCTTATTCAGAAGTGTATAGGTGCAGAATTGTAGCATGAATCACTCCCTCCCACCTACAGATGTGGACTAGCTACAGTCATTTGGGACAAAGATACTTTGCACATGCTCAGAAGCATTTCACATGGAGCAGGACTTATGGTGAAATTAGGATCCTGAGACTCTCTACTACACTAAATAGATGCAATCCTCCTTAGAACATTGGGCTGCCGCCAGCTCTTACAGCCATTTCTTACACCACACTGAAGCGCCTTTAAATCTCTCATACTGTGCAGGGTGGAACAGAAGCACGTTTAAGACTGATCATCTTCTAGGCCCTTTAGGACTACATTGATTAGATGTCCCAAACACTTCAAGTGTCATGAGGCAATATATCAAGCAGATCCACCACCAGGCAGATCTAGAGAGCATTGGGAAGGATGGGAGTATCTATGGACCCAATCCTCTTGAGAAAGACTATAGACCCAGTCCTCTTGAGAAAGCCTAACGCAAACAATTTGATTCCACGATCTGGGACACAGGGATCTCAGCAGTAGATATTTTAGAATAAGTAACAGTCACCGTCTGTTTTTACCTCTGCTATCTAGTGATCCGCTGGGTGCATTTTCAAGCCATCTTTACACCAAGGCTGCTTTTATTGCCGTGATTATCTTGTGTAACTTGGCGGTGTTGTCCACGAAGCCATCTCCGTTCTACCAGAAAGAAGGCAAGATTAAAAGCAAGAGCTCTTTTTTCTTTCCAGTTTTAATACTTTAAAGAAAACAAATTATCGTGGTGTTCATCCTGGTTTGCCCAGGAAAGGATAAAACAAAAGAGTATCCCTGGAGCAGTGGGTCACGGACAGAGGACTGTTACACATGACTTCTCAAGTGCTGTACAAAAGGGGCAATTACAGAATCCAGTTTCCCAAAGTGCAGATCTTTCATTCTTTTGAGCCCTCCCTCCTGTCTCTGCTCACTGTTAGTCTTGTTCAGAGCCAAAGGAAAAACTGCCTTATTGTAATACTTAGCCTAATTTAGGGGGAGGAGACGGGATTGCTGAAGCGCCTTTTGCTGCCTGTACCACTTTATGCTATCAGTCCCCATCCCTTCCATTACAGGCTCTGTACATATCAAGTAGAATTCTTGGGAGACAAGGAATACCCTAAACACCAGCCCATGTGCTAATCTGTTGGAGCAGGGAGAAGGTATCTTTGCAAGGAAGGATCCGCATGCATAACTCTGCAGAGTCCAGAAAAAAGACAGCACACAGGGCTGCAAATGTTGTGCTCTTACAGAGACATTCCCTGTCTCTCCCCCCCCCCCCCAAATCTAGGCTCACAGAACTCTTTGGCCTCCATGCTGTGGAGCGGCTTACCTTCTTGGAATGCACCAGCTTCCCTCCGACTGTCACTTCAAACCATCCTGTGACCTGAGGAGTCCCTTCACCACACTAGGTCGAAAGAGGGGGAAGGACAAAGTATTGCATGTGTGTATTCTCACTCACTACAAGCTTTCTGAATACCAACAATAAGATACGGAGATACGAAGGCACATCTAAGAGGATGACTGCGCTCCCTCCAGCACATCTGTAGCTCTTATTTCCACAGCCCACCATCATCTCTAAGCTTGACCCGACCTGTAAGACAACCATGTCCCAACACTTCAAGAGTTTATGGCTGGAGCTGCCAAACCTTCTGCCCACCAAGAACACTTTCCGCATCTTGTTGCTTGCCACTGAACTCCTGTGCGCAAGAGCAGCAGTCCCAAACCCTTTTCAGCCTGTGGACCCATTTGGAATTCTGACACACCGTGATGGTCGTAGCCATAAAATGGCTGCACAAGGGGGTGGAGCCAGCCATACACTGGCTGCCACGACTTGCCTTCAGTCACATAGTAAAGATCCCTGTGCTGTGCTGGCAGTTGCTGCCAAAGCAACATTTGAAAAAAATATGCACAGCCAATCAAATCTCCAGTGGTCAATAAGAAGCCTTTCTGAGCAACAACCCCACCTGGCCCTGCCCACTTTCTAGAAACATTTGGCGGATGCCAGTAAAGGTGTCAGTGTGTGCTATGGCGCCCATGGGCACCAAGTTGGGGACCCCTGTGCTAGAGGATTCTGGGGCACAATCAGTTTACAGAGACGAGTAGCCAAACCTGTAGATTCTTACTATCACCCTGCACAAACCAAGAGGCTGCTTTAGAACATACTTGCGAACTAAGCCTGGAGCTTTATATTGCAGAGGGCGCAGCAGTGGTGTTAACCAAGGTATACTTTTCCAGGTTTCCCCAGAACAAAGCTGCTGGTTTACAGAGCCCAGAAGCAACATCTGCCAAGCAGACCAGACATTCATCACAGCCAATTTAAGGCATTTCTGCGTGGGACTCAGTCTGAGGCTGGAGCACAAAGCACACTTTCATTTTACATTAAGAAACAGCCTGCACGCATATCAAATTCTTTCCCTGAAAGGGCAATACCAGAATTCTACTCCAGTTAATAGATCACATGATTGTACAAACACAAGCAGGCTTGAGCCAATAGCCCCGGGATATACTCACTATTTCCAGCTTGCCCGGAAACTCTTTCTCGAGTTCCTTCTTGAGCCGCTGATACTATGTGGAAGAGAGGGATGGAGAAGTTAAGTTCATGATCCATAAAGACTGGTAGTTCCCAAAGGAATTAAGGACCTCTAAGACCTAACTCGGCAACAGTGTTCCCTCTAAGCTGAGTTAGTGTGAACTAGCTCACAGTTTTTTAGCCTCCGGCTCACACATTTTTGTCTTAGCTCAGGAGGGATGGCTCCAGAGCAAACTAATTTATGCAGTAGCCAAATCACCTGCTCACAACTTTAATGCCAGTAGCTCACAAAGTAGAATTTTTGCTCACAGGATTCCAGATAGAAGGAGCATTACTTGGCAACCCAGATTATGAAAGGGGGCTATTACTTAGTAACGAGGGATCTGATCTGCATGTTCCACCACCAGCATCTCCAGGATAAGGTATGATGCAATGAGAAAGGAGTCTTGATTTTGATCTACGAGCAGCGAGTGCCGTAAACTCATTGTACAAGTCATGGCTTTTGGCCTCAGCTAAACAGCGGGCTCTGGCCCACAGTGTAAGAGGTGGTCTTGAAGATGCCACAAGACATTGCATTTGCAGTATAGCTCACAGGGTTTCTTGCAGCAGTTAAACAACAATGCAGAAAGTTCCACAAGATGTCTAGGATTGCCACAGGCATCGCCTACATTGGCAGGTCATGTGACACCCCTCTCCCATCACTCTTCCCGAGAGTGCAGAGTGATCCAACCTCATCCTGCTCTTCAAAATTATCTACGCCTCATCCGTTCACTGAAGTTAGAGACACCATTATAATTCCCTTTAAATACAAAGCGATCGATATGATCCTAATACCATCCTTAGGCATTCCAACTGCGGCATCTCTGAGCTGCAGGGGAAACAGCCCCACCCTAGGAACTGCTGCTGAAGTTACAGAGGATCGTCTCTACTGCTCCCCGCCCAACCCAATACATATGTTCCGTATTTTCTAGAACACTGGCCATGCTTTCACAGCCCAAAGGAATTACACAGGACCTCCAGCCATGGTTAATTATAACCACCATGAGCCCCCTAAGATTAAGTGCTGCCCTCTTACTTCCCAGACAGGTTTGGTTCTCTGGCCAAAAATCCAGGTAACTGTTTGGGGCAGAACAACGAGGAGGGTGCTGATACACAACAACAATTGCCCTCTCTCCCTGTCATGAACAAGATATGGAGAATGGGCATCCCCTCCTGGATCTGTCTGACAACAGCTTTGCAGGAGGCAAAACCCAGTGGACAACAAAATACCTTGAACCCACTGGGCATCCAGATCCATCTCAAACTTCATGACTTTCCAAGCTCCATGGACCCCCAAGGGTGACTGGGTCCTCCAGAATTCCACACACCCCAGCCTCTTCCCACAGCAGGCCTGCCTTGGGCAGATCGAAGTTATGAGACAGCAGTTGCTAAGCATATGACTCAATGTGGCAGTGAGTATCAACCTGGCCCCAGATCAACCCCTATATCAGTTTTCTGCAACTGATGACAATGTTAAGTTGTTATTGACTGGAATGGCTTTAGCGAAGCATCAGGCAGAGCAATCCACTTACCTTGGGACTGTATCCTCAGGCCCCACTGCAAAGAGAAATAAAGAACAAACATTACTGAAACAGACTATTTATGGTCCCGGTCACACGGGCCGGAAAATGTGTGGGGGGGGAGCGTGGCTGTTTGCCCTGGAGCAAAATAACGCGCGGCCGCCCGATCACACGTCCCGTCAAGGTCCCGTGGTTAGGCCGGGAGGTGCCGATCACACGTCTCTCCTGCAACGCGGCAAAGAAGCGGCGGGGCGCGATCACACCAGCAATCGCTAGGCGCCGCTTCCGTGGCAATCGGGAATATTTTTTTTTCACCAGAAGGTGAGCATGCACACGATCGTTTGTGCGGATCCTGTGCAGACTGAAAAAAAAAGTAACCGGTTTGCGACGGGACTAGGACGGGACGCGATCAGACGCCCGCCCTTGCCTCACGTCTTCCGGAAACTAGTACCTCGTAGGTACTAGGTTTTTAATCCGCATCTTCGGTGGGAAGCCACGGGTTAGCCACGGGAGCACTACGCTTCCCAGACGTTGCGGTGTGATCGCGCCCGGAAAATCCGCCTATCATCCGTCTCTTTAGCACGGCAAATGCTCCGTGTGAACGGGGCCTATGAAAACCACGGACTGCGTTGCACCATCTAGCTCACGAACAGCTACCCGTGCAACCCTAAGGACTTTGGGCAAGGTACTCAAGATCACAGCCTATTTGGGAACTCGGAGAACTGCGCCTTTTTGGCCATGTGAAGGTTTTAGTAGATCACTTAACAGTTCTGGCTGCAGCACTGCAAAACCAAATGGCCGATCCACACCCACAGGCTGGCAAACTCCCTAAATGCTTTGTCTGCAAGCACAAAACACCGAAGCCGGTACAAAGAGGGATTCTACAGTCGACTGAAGTAGCTCCTATGGATTGCCAGAGGCATCGTTTAAGGGGGTCAGGTTGGATACGGCCAAGGCCCAAAGATATCACTTCTTCGTCACCACTGAATACCTTCTGAAGTCATTCAAGGAGAATTCAATCTTCTTCCTGTGGTGATGAAACCACAGAAACCTGCCTCTCTACCGGTTATCACCGTTTGGACTGAGATGCAAGAATTCACATAGTTGGATTCCCCATTGTTCTACAGAAAGAACCAACAATAAATTGAATTTCTACCGGCAGACCCAGAAGTCACCTTGTTAGCAGTGGTGGAAAGAAGGAATCGAGACTTCTGCTCTTCCAGGAGGCCGATTATTGGAACAAGAGAGTCTTTTCTACTTTAAATGGGTTTGCAATTCTGTCCAATTCTGCACCATCCCATCACATGATGGATATTCTTCCAGAAAGTGGAATCATCACCACCACCACCACCACCACCCAAAAACACACACCGTAATCTTTGTTTGTGTCTCAACCTCTGCAGTTTTCCACAGGCTTGCCCCAACCGGTCCTCCTGCCCCACAGGTATGTCTGAAGGGGATGCTTTATCCGGGCACCCGCGCCCCACAGAAGGGGACCACAAAGAAGCTGAGAAAACCAAATTTGCCTGCGAGAGGTCCAGTCGGGAAGACCTCCGTTCAGTTTGGGCTTAGACCCCTTCCTCACTCGGCAGCAGCACAGGGAAACGCCCGTCTTTATTTCTTTATGGGATCGACTTATACCCCGCTTTCCTCCCGATCGACGGGACTCGAATGGTCTAAGGAGAAGGAGTGCTCGGAAACTGACACACTGTAAGGAGCAGAAAGAGGCGGATGCACCAACAAGCAACCAAAACTCACAGAAATTACCAGACGGCGTGGGATGGGAGAAAAACGACACGCGACTGAACCTGCCAAACGTGCTCCTGGGCCTTTTGAAAAGCGGCCTCAGTCACAGCAAGAAGAAGCGCCACGCTTTGCCCGCAACGCCCTCTTACCAATAAACCACCTTGACTTTGAGAGGCATGATGCCAACTGCGCTCCTCGCCGCCTTGTACCTCGCTACCAGAAAGGAACGTTCAGGCCTCCAACGTTCTGCTCCGGAACGTCGCGACAAGATACTTTTAAGCCGACGTTCGGGCCGTACCATTCTCTGAGAAGGAGGGGGGGGACAGAGAAAGGAAAACCCGCGCTCTTCCCTCCTCTCCTCTCTCGCTTGTGCTTTAACCACGCGTTTCAACTTTCTCCCACCCACATCCAAAAGCATCAGCTCCACGGCATAGAGCTAACTGGAAAGACGCGCAAAATCTACCGTTCAGTAAAACATGACAAACCCCACCCCTTTCTGAGATGGTATCGTCTCCTGCCGCAAATTGTCACATGGAGGCCACGACCTGCAGGTGTAAACTCCCATCCCCCCCTCCCCCGAAAGCACAGGGGAACGGGGAAGGTCATGCCCATTTTTTAAAAAACAATTTTTGGGGGGAGTAAATGATTAGTGCTTAGCGTTAGGAAACGGAATGACCCGGAAGCCAGTTTGCAGAGGGGAGCCGTGTTGGTGTCTGCAGTAGCACAGGTAGATGGGGAAAGTCTTACTTTGTTTCGTGCTTGGAAAAATTGCACGAAGAGGGAACGTTCTAGAAGCAGAAGCCTGGCTGGAGCTGAGCCCGGGAGTCATTTATACAGTAGCCCCCGTTAACTTGCAAAATCTATTGATTTCCGCGGACGTGAGGCCCAAATAAGACTCCTGCGTATGTTTGCTGGGATTAAAGTCTGTCAGTTTGTGCACATCAAAGCTTCCTTTCCCAAACTGACTCCGCAAAGATGTTGAGGGTTTTTATTGTTTTTTTTTTTAAATTAACCCATCTGGAGGTTGTGGATATTGAAATGCAGAGCTTCATTCCTTTTCCTGAACCATCAGGGGTCCTCAAGGTACAGTGGAAAGGCATGCTAAAGCAGGGCGCTGGCAGCAGATGGGAAGTGACAAAAGTACTGCGCTAGTCAGGGCCGGCCCCGGCTTATTGTGTACCCTAGGCGAGGAACCCTTCTGGCGCCCCCCCCCCCTCGTGCGCCCACCAATTTTCAAAAATACATGCATTTTAGGAAGAATGAAAAACACAAATAATCAAGAAACTCTCAGAGTACGGGGTCGGGTGCAGTTTGGTGCCCCTAAGGGCCGGCCCGCTCTAGGCGATCGCCTAGTTCGCCTAGTGAGTGAGCCGGCTCTGGCGCTAGTAGCAGAGTCGGAGTTCGGAGGCGGGGAGAACATTAGGACAGCAAGTCCTAGCGTCATAGGATGGAAGCCCAGGACTTCTGGAGACCCAATGTGGCCCTGTGACAGAATGGGCTATCTGCAATCAGGCAAGCACTGGGCGCAGGTTATTTTTAAATGACATTTTGAAACCTCCAGCTTCCGTCTTTGGTGGAAGACCAGCTGTTCCCTTCTTTAGCCCAGAGCTGGTGCCAAGACAAACACACGCACAACCTCAGTCCCCGTCTTCTGTCGCTCAGGGCATAGTGCCGGCTCAAGTCCTGACACGCTGCCTCCGATGCACCTACCGGTGCTTCCTGGATGGTTTCATGTTTGTGCGATCTTTTCAGTGGAGAGCCGTTGACACAATAGCAACTTGTTTTCACCCTACAGGAAATAGTGCTTTGTTTTCGTAACATTGAGTGGCTGGAGAACACAGTGGTGTTTTCCTTCCTTTTGGCAGATGTGGTTATTTTGGGTTAGTTATAGTCTGCCTCTCTCACAGGAACGCATGGCAGATTGCACATACACAATAACAAAAAAAGGGGACATTCAATAATCAGCACATTAGGATTTTAGAAGTCTGGAACCACCAGAAAGAACTGAAGCATAAGCAGGGGTCATTTCCTGCGGGAGCGCACAGGAGCGGAGCTCCGGCAGTAAGGAGCCCAGGGGGCGGGCACATGCAACAAGCCCCACCCCCTGCTCCCAGCAGCCCTCAATCGGGTCACGAGGAGCAAGAAGCAGCCAGGTAAGTTGCAGAGCCTCCCCCCCGCCTGCCTTCAGGTACAAGCTCTCCCTCCTCTGTGAGGGCAGATCTGCACGTCTCCCCCCCAATAGCTAGCAATCCAGAACAGTCCAGTGGAGCCTGAAGGGTGGGTGTTGCCCTCTGGCGTTGTCAGGGGGTGGGGCATATGCAAATACATTATGCTAATGTTATGCTAATGAGCTCCTGCACCTCTTTTTCTATGAAATGACCCCTGAGCAGAAGTATTCAAATGACACATTAAGCGGTACAGAAATTACATTAATAGGGGCCACGGTGGCTCAGAGGTTAAGACACTGAACTGCAGACTGGAAGATTTGTAGTTCAGCAGTTCAAGACCCGGGTGCCACGTGATGGAGTGAGCTCCCATCTCTTGCCCCAGCTCCTGCCAACCTAGCAGTTCGAAAGCAAGAAACTGCAAGTAGATAAACAGGTACCGCTTTGGTGGGAAGGTAACAGCGTTCCGGGCACCTCGGCGTCTAGTCATGCTGGCCACGTGACCACAGAAACGTCTTTGGACAGCACTGGCTCTTTGGCTTGGAAACGGAGATGAGCACCACCCCCTAGAGTTGGATTTGACTAGCTTTTGAGCAAGGGAAACCTTTACCTTACTTACAATAAGCTAAACACAGCAGTATAGACTACAGGCCTTAAATCATTTATTGCCCTGACCTGGATAGCCCAGGCAAGCTCCTTCCTCTGTGAGGGCAGATCTGCGCGTTCCCCCCCCATAGCTAGCAATCCAAAACAGTCCAGTGGCACCTTTAAGACCAAGTTTTATTCAGGTACAAGCTCTCCCTCCTCTGCGAGGACAGATCTGCACGTTTCCCCCCCCACCAATAGCTATCAATCCAAAACAGTCCAGTGGAGCCTGAGTGGTGGGTGTTGCCTTCTGACACACTTCCAGCGATGTCATGGGGTGTGGCATATGCAAACAAGTCATGCTAATGAGTTATGCTAATGAGCTCCTGCACCTCTTTTTCTACAAAATGACCCCTGCACGGACACATGAAAAAGTACAAAACATACCCCCCCCCAATCATCCAAGCAAGTTCGTAAAACCAATTTGTGCATTGCAACCCTATTACCTGTGCAGGGAAACCCTCTTGAATAATTCAGTTTTGCATGATTTGCAGAAGGGCCGGGAGAGCGGAAGCTTTCTTGACCTCCTCGGGCTGGCCGTTCCACACAGTGGGAGTCACTCACAATGAAGAAAGCGCATCTACAAGCAGTTGTTGATTTGGCCCGTTTGCAAGCTGGCGCCTGCAGAAGCCCGTGCCGACTGGAACGCAGTTGTCGTGGCGCAGCGTCGGGAGAGAGGCAGTCCCGCAAATAAGAGGGGCCGAGGCCATGAAGGGCTTTGTGTGTGACAGCCAAGACCTTAAACTGAGCCCAGTATAGATGGGGCAGCCAATGGAGCATCTGCGAAGTGGCAGTAACATGCATGCGGTTGAGGAAAGAAATGCATGAACATTGCTAGCATCTAAATTAAGAGACAGCCCTCCCATAACTTGGAAGGGCCGTGGCTTTCTAGACATATGTTTGAACCAGGGCTTCAAGCATGCACACATGAATTTAACGTGTAGCCTTCGACAACATAATGAACTTAACATGCTTGTTACTCTCCTCCTGGGTGGGGTGCTGCTGATATTCTGCCCAAATGCTCCCTCTAAGCTACGGAGTCTTGTGAGCAAAAAATCTACTCTGTGAACTACTGGCATTAAAGTTGCGAGCGAGCGATTTGGCTGCTGCATAAATGAGTTTGCTCTGGAGCCATCCTTCTGGAGCTGTCACGGCTCAGGTGGGGGGTCACCTGACGCTGCCACCACTCTGGATTTAGGTTTCCTTGAGAAGGCCCCGAGCAACCTCCCAAGACCTTCAGTTCAGACCTCCCTTTTGGCCAAATAACAGGCGTGAGGACCAGGCAGAGTACAACAAGGAAAAGGTTTATTTTATAGGAGGTCAAACAACAAGATGCAGAATAATAACAGTAAGTGGGTAAAAAGAAATCAAACGCGTCTAAATATATATTGTCTCTAGCTCACTACTCCAAGTGAAACTAGACTACTCACCCTTCCCTCAGGATGAGGGTTTCTTCCTGCAGCAGCCTTCCTTCTGGCTCTGCCCTCTGGAAGAAAGAACAGCTTCTGCTCTGGCACCAGCCCTTTTGTTCCCCAGCCCTCTTCTTCCCTATTGGTCAATTTTGGCTCCAAAACCTCCCAGGGGCTTCTGGGAGTTGTAGGCCCAGCCTCACCTACTGCTAGCCAGGCTCCCTGGGCCTAGTAGGCCTCTGGTGGCACAGCCCAGATCATGACAGGAGCTAAGACAAAAATGTGGAAGCCAGGTGCTAAAAACCTGTGAGCTAGCTCACACTAACTCATCTTTGAGGGAACACTGGGCCATCAGACACAGAAGCAAGGATTACATGGACACTAATCATCTTGGCATAGTTAATACAGTGAAAACTGCATGGACATCACTGGATTGGTTGCGCTTAGGAGTGGCTGATGGGGAAGACATGGGGAATGTGGCTATTTTGGATATGAGGCATGCTTGTATTATGTGACAGTTCTGTGACTCAAGACCGGACAGAGGCAACATCATGAGATCGAAACACAGTCCAGAAGCACAGGTCTGGCTCGACTGAAGACCATCCAACGGACTTGAAACTCCTTAGGCCCTTGTGAAGAGAGAGAGACCTCAAACTCAACCCAGCCGCTGCAGCTGAAAAGCAAAAGTTTGTAACCCCTCCTAGTGGACCTCCCGAGAACAGCAATGTACATCCCACTCTTTTTAACTCTCTGATCTCTTTAATCTTGGGACAGGAGTTTGGATTTCTGCTCTCCAGTGTTCCCTCTAAGCTGAGTTCGTGTGAGCTAGCTCACAATTTTTTAGCCTCCGGCTCACACGTTTTTGTCTTCGCTCAGGAAGGAGGGCTCCTGAGCAAACTCATTTATGCAGCCGCCAAATCACTCACTCACAACTTTAATGCCCATAACTCACAAAGTTGAATTTTTGCTCAGAAGTCTCCACAGCTTAGAGCAGGGGTGTCAAACTAATTTGTTATGAGGGCCGGATCTGACATAAATGAGACC